GCCACGAAACCGTTAGGTTTAGGCTAATTTCCTCAGGTCGAACAGTTAAAGCCTTAAAGGGCTGGAAAGTGGTGTGAATAGTTAAAGGGCTAATTCCCTTGCCTTTTTTTAGTTGGGGGCTAAAAGCCTTACATTTTATGAGTTGAGAGGCAGCAGCTAAATATCTATGAACCGAAGCCAACCGACCTTCGCGAACTTTTTTTTTATGTTACCATTATGGGGTTTTTTATCGGCTAAATGTCCATTTTGGTCCTCAAAGTCTGAGGAATATATGAATTTAGTCCTTAATAATCAAATCATAATGATTTAATGCTTAAAGTTTTCGCTTACCGACATTGGTTGTTGCCTGTTGGGTCGTGTTGGCTTTATATCGAAATTACGGTCATACCCTTGTTAGATCCGTAATGTAATCTTGGGCTTGGGCTGCACTAGTGAACCAAGTCTGGCCTTCACCTTTATTTGTCGTATTGGGCTTCTTTTTAACATAAGGCCCTATATGTCAACGAGCCGATGATGGGACATCAATACAATACCCTACAATACTCTGGTTTTAGGCTGGCACTAAAACCATCGAAAGGCCCAAAGCTGCGTAATTTTTTTTCTCTTTTTCAATTGTGTTGGATTTTTTTTTTTAAGGAACAAATTTTTATTGTTGAAAAACGCCATTGGTTTTTTGTCATGGATGAGGTAGGCTAATGAAAAAGATCTCAAGTCAAACTTATAAGGAATGTCGTAAAAAGTGTGCTTAAGCACTAGATGATGCTCAGCCGCCTCGTCTAAGTCCTAGATGTTTCTTTCGTTTTATTTTTTTATTAAATTTAAACATTTTGAAAAAAAATAAAAATAAAAATAAAAACTAAAATGCCAAAACGGTGCCCATGTGCAAGATGACCTAACACAACCATCATGTAACACTTTCTACAAGACTACTTATAAATTATAATTCAAATTATATCTTTATTCAAATCACATAATTATATTAAAACATACAAGCAACGTAAGTTTTGTTTTAGTGAATAAGGGATCATTTTGGATAACATGAATTTTTTTTAAGTTTTGGCATGACATGATATGTTTTAAACCTTTATATGTATGTTTTTTATTATCAAATTTTAAACTTTAAAGTAAATGTATATAGTTAGTTTTTTGTCTCATATGATCAACTAAATTACAAGAAGCATGTGCAAATGAAAAAATGAGCGTTTTTTTGTAAAGATATAACTTAATCTCATAAGATACAACACAATTTTAAAGAATACATTAATAAATTAAAATTTAATTAATTATAAACCTTATATTGGGTTCATCATCAAATGTAACAAAAATTTGATAATATCACACCCTAATAATTAACTTGCATGTAAAGAATGATAATATAATAGTGTAATTTTCATTTTCTTTTGTGGGTGGAACTCGAAAGTAAAGAACTAATTAGCAGCTTAGCATGGTGAGTATATATATGATCCCAAAAGAGGCATTTCCGCCACCACTCCAATCGTCGTTGTCATGATCCTCCAACGACCAATTAAATGTCATTCATTTGCATATCTCTTGAATACGACAAGTCAACCATTGACGTCTCAAGCGGAACTAACCATGTGGATGCCACAGCCACGCCCAGCATAGCACTCTCAGGGGCCTAGCTCATGGCCATTGAACCCACCGTGGTCCACCCTGCTTGATCATACATCGGCCGATTCAATTGATCCCCACCACCACACGTAACCACTTCACCACCCGATTCAATTTTTTTGCCTATATAATTCAGAGGCATCTTTTGGTACTTTTTCCTCCAAGGCATCTGATACAATAGCCATCCAAAAAAAGGGGACAACCATGCAAGTAGATAGGTGATAGCCGAAGGGAATAAGGTGAGAAAGAGCGGGACCATTGTGTTATGCCCCTGCTCTTTCACTCAGTCTCTTCATCATCTCTTAACTCTTTATGGAAGGGAAGACCACAACTGGAAATGCAAAGAAGCCTGTTAGTCATCAGGCTAGCACATGCAGATGTGCTTTTTTTTATCTCAGTGATCTTAACGGTATAAGAACAAGAAACAACTCAATCTCCTAAAGAATTTAGTTTGATTCACATCCTATTCTTCAAATTTGTGGATGCTATATAATATTAAATATAAAAGCTCTGGTCTAAACAAAATGACAGAAAAAAATAGATAGAAGGGAAGTAACTGAACGAAAGATGAAGCATTTTGTTCCATTTTCTGCAAGTAACCATGGTAAAGGACAATCTAATATTGAAACAAGCACATAGCTGGTTTGGCAGACTGTGTTTGAAGTACAAATGCCAAATTCCACATTCTCTCAACCAAAATGGCACCAGCAAATCTTGACCACAAAAACTAGTTCACAGGAAGTGTCTGTCCCCTTTTCCATGACGTCTATCAGCAAACCAAGGTTTTTGCTTGGATGAATGATATCACGGTTAATATATATATTGGCTCAAAAAGTAAGTGGAACTACCATCTAATTATGGTCTTTAAATAAATATTTTCTTAACTTTATTATGCAGTTCAATGGGTCGTGTGTCTCAACAAAGAAGGTAAAAAATCATTCGTTCTGAAAATCGAATTTCCAGTTGCTAATAATTCTTAATTTAATTATTAATTATTACTTTTGTCAAAAATAAATAAATAAATAAATATTTTCCATCAATCCTGCAAAAAGCGCACTTAGGTGCTAGACTGCTAGGCAATGGTCGGGCATAAAGCATTAATATTGGAAAAAAGAATAATGTCTTTTTTTCTCTGCTTTAGATTTAGCAAGGGTTTTTCCGGCACACTGTAAACAGTGCGCAGCTTGGGGCTCGCAAGTTTTCGTAGTTTCAAACACTGGAATGATGACTTCTTAAAAAAGTTTATGGAAGCACGAGGACTTCTTTTTAAGTTCAGTAAAATTAAATTTGATCTATGATTGTTTAATTTCATCTCAATTTAATCCCTAGCATTTTTTCTTACCTAATTGGGTAACTTCGAAGTTATAACCTTTAAAATTGCTTATCTAATTCTCATTTTAATATATCACTTCATGGCTATAATAACGAATTTGATTTATTTCACAAAATGGATATGTTGTTAATGGGCAATTAATAATAATATACATGATATTTTTTCTTCAATTATTAATTAAAAAATTCATTTAGATGTATTTGTACATTTTAATAATAAAAATCAATCTGCATTTCTTTTAATTTTCCATCGTTTTTTTTCTTGTACACTTTGTGCCAAAACTTGGTTTGAGTTGGATATGAATATAATTAAAAAGGATTTAATTCTTAGTTAATGTAATTAAATATTCTTTATAATACACTCAATCCAATACATGTACTTAATTAAATAAGCTAAGGACAAATAAGTCCACGGTCTTGCAGAAACAGCATTTGGTCCAACCATCCAAGACTACACTGAGAACCCATTAAGGTGGAGGATTATGTCATGAAATAAACCAAAAATCAAACCTTCCTTGTGTACGTAAAGTTTTTGCTTTGTTACACATAATGTGCAAACTAAAACAAAGATCAAAACCCCACTATACTTTTATAATTCCAAATTGACCAAAACAAATCCGCACCTATGGCACACGCGCATTAACTTTCTATTGTATAAAAAAGGTACAAGAACAATAGCTTATATAATTCAATTTAATTATGCAAAATATGAGAAATTTAGCCCTAAAGATTATACAAAAATCATATCTTATACGAGGGCTTATATAATTCAATTTAATTATACAAAATATGAGAAATTTAGCCCTAAAGATTATACAAAAATCATATCTTATACGAGGGCTCATATAATTCAATTTAATTATGCAAGTTGAAATACCTTTCTCCTAAAGAAGTCAAGTGCTACAAGTAACTAACTTGAGGGCGGTAGTGCGATTATTATATGGTATATTCTTATAAATGTGTAAAAATGTCTAGGTTCAAATGAACATTAAAAAACAGCAGAACCATGTGTTAAACCTACGAACTAACTCTAAATTGACCATTGAGTCTTTAAATTTTAATGGATGCATATAAGTCTCTAAACTCCATGATTTAAGTAATTTAACCTTTAATTCTTTAATTACCATAAGAATAAGGGTTAAATTGCTATAAGAATAAGGACTAAATTGTTGAGATCATGGAGTCTAAGGGTTTATATACACCAATTAAAGTTTGGAGGCTCAATAGTAAATATAAAGTTAATTAGAGGCTTAACATATGATTTTGCCTTAAAAGACATACGTCAAGGTTATAAAATAATTATTTTCTATCTAAGGTACTTGATGGGATACATTTTATATGCTTTAATATATTATTTTCATCTTAGTTTTGTTATTATTTAAATATATAAAATATGATTTTTTAATAGATTTTATATAATTTTTATTTTTTATGTAGAAAAGACTTTGAATACATAATATTATAAGTTTTTGGGATTAATTAAATATCTTTTGAAAGTTGAGAGATTGAATTGTGAGAAGAAAGTTTCTTTTAGAGATCTATAAGAATGAATCCAAAGTTATGGGATCAAAGTACTATTGTATAAAAGATGGAGGACTAGATCTACTATTTCATCATTAAAGAAATTGCAAAACGGCTCAGAATCCCGACACGGGTTTAGTACTTTAGCGTCGACACATACTTAGGGTGGCGGCACTGTGCGTTAAGCTTTTGGAAAGCAGGCTGAGCGTGAAATAAACAAAGTGCCAACCCTTACATTCAGCTATCGACACCATGCACCGTTTTAATTTAAAAAAAAAAAATATTATTATGGTTTTATTATGATTATTTTTTAAAATATTCTTAAATTGTATAAATATTTATTCAAAACCAATCATAGTGGCTTTTCGGGAGACAAAGAAAGAGATGATTAAGAGGAACTTAATATTAAAATAATATTAAGATTTAGAGATTTTATATTTTAAATAAATTTTATTTAATTTTAAATTTTATTTTATGATATTTTATATGTTTATATTCATTATAAAAAATTAATTTTATTTTCTTTAATTATAAATAATTGAATCATTTAAAATATAATGTAAACTAATCAATTTGATATAAAAATGTTATAATTTTTATATTTTTAAGGCTTATTAATTGTATATATTATTGTTTTTAAATGTTTTTTAATAATTAACTACTATTAAAATTTATTTAAAGAGTAAAATTAAAATTTAGAAGAGATTTTATGTGAAAACTTCTAATAATGAATAACATAAATAAAATAAAAATAAAAAATGAACTAAAGTGATTTGTGTAACATTAATGAAATATAAACTTGATTTTTTATGTAAACTAAAAAATTTTATAAAATATAATGTATTTTTATCTATTTAAACTTATATAATAAATTAATAAGTTAAAATAGATTTAATATAATTAAAGAAAATATATAAAATAGAATAAAAAATATTGTTGCCACATAAATAATAAAGATTTTGAAATATATTAATCTAAATTTTATATTAATTAATTATGATGAAATTAAATACTTTAAATTTTCAACTTTTGGTATCATTTAAAGTCAGTTTAATTTTTTTTATTAATTTAGTTAAGTAATTCATTCAAATTAATTTCAATTATTTAAATGAAATTAAAATTAATTTATTTATTTTTAATACTAATTAGTCTACCATATGTATAAGATGGTATTTTATTTTATTATTATATTATTTAAATTGACTAACTCATAAGTGCTATTCCTCTATTCTACGATAGTAATATCTTATATTGCTGTTATAATGTTAAACATGAACTATTAGATGAAAAGAAGACCTCAATATTAGTAACTCATTTCATATAATAATTAATGTTATCTAATTTAAAATGTACAATACTTTTTTTAATAATATTTTTTTATCAAAATTAAGAATTTACAAATAATTTAAATTTTATTTAGTATGATTATAATTTTTTATTTTAATTTTTAAAATTCAAACAATTTAGAACTAAAATTAGCAACTTATTAAATACAAAATTTTAAAATAAATAGTCAAAATAACAAACTTAATTAATTTAGAAAATTATTTAATTTTATTTTAAAATTTATAAATTTTTAAAAACTAAAATATAAAACTTAAAATTAAAATCATACTAAATGAAACCTTAGTATTTTTTTATATTATTATTTTAAAAATATTTTTTCTTATCTAATCTTTAAAAAAATATTATTTTTATTAACCTAAAAAAAGTAAGGGTGTTGCTATTGAAATAATTTTTTGTCTTATTTTTTTATATAATTTTCACATATCATTAAATAAGTGAATGAATTTAATATCACGAGTCTCATGTGAATTAAAAGAATCAATAATTCGTGAAATTATACCAAAAAATAAAATAAAATGATTGTTCAAATAGTATTTTCCAAAAATAATTTAAAGAAATACATTTTTGTGAGAAAGATAATGATAAGGTTAGCAAAAAAGTTAATTTCCTCCTTTGGTATAAATTTGTGCCACGAACTCCTCCACTAGCCCAAACACGAAACGATCTACACGTCAAAACTTCATCGATTCCCCGTGTGTGGAACATGAATCGATCAATTTTTACGCAGCTAATGCAAAATTTTCCGATAACACTGTCAACGTCAGTTCAGCCCGAATTTCTCGTGATCTTTCTTCTCTTAATCCGTGCAGAAGGTTACGATTTCGGTTACCTTCGTCGCCTTTCCATCTACCTTGTCAATTTCTTCTTATCTTCAAGTTGTGTTAAAAAACCAATTATTTTTCATTCATGTAGACTCTGGAATTGTTCACGTCGATTGATCCTTCTTCCCGTGGGGAAAGAGAGGAATCAGTCGTCGTCTTCGATTGTTTCTGGTGGCGATGGAGGATAGCAACCGCAGAAAGGAGGTGAGGTTCGAGGATGGAGAGTACGAGATTGAGGAATTGGGAGAGCACATCAAATCGTCTAGAGCGAGCAGATTCGATGTATTGGAAAACGTATTTGGCATCGGTACCGGAGCGCGGAGGAAGTTCAGTCGCGAAACGCTCATCAACGGCATCAGAGATCTATCCAAAGGCTTCGTCATTCATCCTGATAACAGGTTCCAAATCTCTTCCCTCTTTTTAATTTCATCAATTACAGGTGAGAAACGAATGCCCACCGTTTCCCGCCAAGTGTTCGTAAATTGGATTGATTTGCTACGTCAGCACTAAGGGATTTTGACTTTTTTTTGGAGATTGAATGGCTTTGTTTGGTTGGATTGACTAGGATGGATTTTTTTAAGCTTTTCTTTTCCACTAGTGCATAATCACATTTTAAGATAAGGTCCACAATTTGGCCCTATCTGATTAAGAAAATAATGATCACAGCTGGATGGTACTTCATTTCTAATTATAAAATCTTCTAGACTATTATAATAGAAGTTCAAATTTGTGCGGTTCTCTTCACTTTCTTTTCTTCTAAACCACTTTAGCATATAAAAATATAATAATAATAATAATAATAAACAGACTATTATTTGCTATTTAAAAACCTTTTAAATTTTTTTATAATTAAGTGATGTAAAATTTTCTTTTTGTATTTAGTATACATTTTAAGGAGAGGATTGTGGTGGAAAAATTATTTTATTTATTCATTGACTTATTACATTTACACATATATATATCTTTTATTTTTAGGTACCTTTAGTTAAAAAACTATTTTATTATATGTGAAAATATGTTAATAATCTTGTAAGAAAATTTTTTTAAAAAGTTTAAGGAAACAAGTTTCACGTTCTAACCAAATACCCCTTAGCATGAGCATCAAAAGGGAAAATGTGTTACATACAAAAAAAAAAAAAGGAAAATGTGTTAATTAATATCTTATAGCCAAATACAGGTGGTACCGGGCATGGACCACGTTCATACAAATATGGGCACTGTACTCCTCCTGCTTCACTCCGTTTGAGTTTGGCTTCTTCCGGGGATTGCCGGAAAATCTTTTTGCACTAGATATTGCAGGACAGATAGCTTTCCTTCTAGACATCGTTTTGCAGTTTTTTCTAGCTTACCGAGACAGCCAGACATATCGAATGGTCTACAACCGCAACCAAATTGCACTCCGGTCAGTTGCTTTTTTTCTTCCCTACCGTGCCGAATGTCATACATAAATTTTATGTTTTACATTTTGCAAACTTATTGATTGTTAGTCTATGCATGCTAGAACATTTGGTACCGCACATATACTTTATATGTCGTATACTCAAAAAAATGGATCCCCGTGCATCCTAAGTTTTTCATTTTAATTTACATTTTCTGTACTTGGATCTTGCTCTGGTCGTACATATAAACAGCATGCTAGTTTTTTTCTCTTTCACGTTATTGCAGGTACTTGAAATCTAATTTTATCCTTGATTTGCTTGCTTGTCTGCCTTGGGACGTGATCTACAAGGTATGTCTTTTCCAATCCTTTTTATTGCTTGTTATGCTCAAATTTATTGTTGTGGCATTTCCTATAACCATTTTTATTTTATTCTTTTCAAACAGGCTTCAGGGAGAAAAGAAGAAGTGAGGTTTCTTCTATGGATTAGGTTATACCGGGTTCGCAAAGTCACTGATTTTTTCCAGAAGATGGAGAAGGATATACGGATCAATTACCTTTTTACCCGGATCATAAAACTTATTTGTGTTGAAGTATATTGCACACATACAGCAGCTTGCATCTTTTACTATTTGGCTACCACTCTGCCCCGTGAAAAGGAGGGGTACACGTGGATTGGAAGTTTAAAGCTGGGTGATTTCAGTTATTCACACTTCAGAGAGATTGATATCTGGAAGCGTTACACAACTTCCATGTATTTTGCCATTGTCACCATGGCTACAGTTGGTAAGTTACCTGTTATTTAAGGTTTTATATTGTCTCTGAAAGAGATCATTATCGTTGACGTGATTTGTTTGTTGGGACACTTTGTTTCCTTATATTAAAGTCATTTGTTCAGTTTGCTTGATGTTCTTCAACAGAAGATAGTCTTTGGCATTCTCTAATTAGTCTCTAGTTTTCTGTAATCTCTGTTCTTTTATCTGGAAAAAGAAAGATGCTAACAATCCGTTCTATGATGGTTATACAATATCCAGTGTCAGTTCAGTGTTTCGCTGATTGCCTTATGAGTTATGATTCTGCTGATTATACCGCAGGTTATGGAGATATACATGCTGTCAATATGAGGGAAATGATATTCATAATGATTTATGTCTCCTTTGACATGATTCTTGGGGCATATTTGATTGGTAACATGACAGCATTAATTGTAAAAGGGTCCAAGACAGAAAAATTCAGGGATAAAATGACAGATGTTACGAAGTATATGAACAGAAATAGACTTGGAAGGGATATACGTAATCAGATCAAAGGTCACTTGTGCTTGCAGTATGAAAGTAGCTACACTGAAACTGCAGTCCTTCAGGATCTCCCCATCTCCATTCGAGCTAAGGTAACTTAGAAATAGTAGCTTATCACCCCCATCTTTTTAAGGACAATCTCTACAATATAGAATGGTGCTGTGCCATGATATGTATCAACATATTTTTAGTCAGAGAAGACCACCAAGGGATTAGTGAGATTCTTTATATCAACTAAGAAATCATTGATAGAAGTTGACTGAATCAGTGCCAATAAAATATAATGTTAGTTCCTGAAGTATCATATTAATTCACGGATCTATAGCACTTCTTAATTTTTTTTTCCTGATTATGGATATACTAGTTGAACCATATACCAAGTTACCATAAAATTCTTTTCTTTTTGTTTTTAAACAAAGATATTGTTCTTTTCTTTTGAGCACCAAGAGAAAAAATATTGCTCTTCCAATATGTTGATAGATTGATACTTTTCCTCTAATACTTGCATTTTTGTGTCTTTAACAGATAGCTCAAACATTGTATATGTCATATATTGAGAAGGTTTCTCTTTTTAAGGGATGCTCATCAGAATTTATCAGTCAGATTGTAAGTCAGATTTCTGCTCTGTGATATCTAAGTCACTGGTAATGTAAAATATCATGAGAAAAATGAGGTTCAGAAGGCTGTTGTTTTGGTAATACAAGCTTCACTCATATAGGATCACGGTTGTTATGTGCTTGGATTTGCACCCATCTATTTTTGTTTTGTGTTCCATTGAGAAGTTAGGTTTGCTGTGATATAGCCTGTCTCTACCTAATTACAGGGCATTGTCATGCTGTGGACTCTAGAAAGTGTGTGTTTCTCTTCACACATTAAACCTATCTACATTTTTCTGTCATTTTTTATCTCTTGATTTTGCAGTATTTATTGTATCAATTGGATTTTGACAATGACACCAGTGCTGTGCCACATCATGGCAAAGGGTGTTTCACAGGCTGATATTAACCTCATATTTGATAATTGTGCTTTGTACACATGACAACTTTGTGATACCACAGAAATGTTGAATCAAATTCGTCTCTTCACTATTTGAAAAAGAGAGAACCAAAAAGAATAAGGAGCAACTAAAGAGAAGAATATTGTGTTGATATGTATTAGTTCTCTTGATCTTACAGGTGATTGGAGTCCATGAAGAATTCTTCCTCCCAGGAGAAGTAATAATGGAACAGGGAAATGTGGTGGATCAACTCTATTTTGTCTGTCATGGTGTGCTGGTATGATTCCATATCCCTTTTCTTTTTCTTTTTCCTTTTCCTTTTTTTTTTTTTTTAATGTTCAATGACACTTTTAATCACATGCTTTGTTTCTTTGTCTCCCTACTTGTAATTTTTCTTAGACATATCTTATGTAATTTAATGAATGGCATCTTTTAGCACTGCAACCTCTTGGTCTAAAGGTGATAGTTTTTGTCCACTTGATCCTTAAATGTAACCTAGCTCACCTGGCTTGCAAACATTTTCAATGTCAGGGAAAGTTCTACATATATTTCACAACATCCTTGGCAATTTCTCAGAAGATCATCAGCGGCATTTGGTTGTGAATTCATTTCTTAATATGTTGTTAGTGTCCTTAGAATATGGCTCCTAGACTCATACAAAAGGTTAATCTTAATTTCTAGATATCTTTGATTTATTGAGGATCAGCCAAAATTACCTGTGAACAGGAAGAGGTTGCTATAGGGGAAGACGGATTAGAAGAGACAATTTCACTTCTGCAACCTGAAAGCTCATTTGGAGAGATCTCTATATTGTGCAACATTCCTCAACCCTATACAGTTCGGGTTTGTGAACTATGCAGGCTTTTGCGATTGGATAAGCAATCATTTTCAAATATTCTCGAGATTTATTTCAGTGATGGGAGGAAAATATTGAATAACCTTTTAGAGGTAACTTTGCTATGTCTATATCTTTAACGCTTGCTTAAAAAGAAAATATCTTTAGTGCTTTATACTTGCAAAGTGTGTACACAGTTTCTATACCTTTATTTTGTTCATGAGATGCTGGGGAGAAGTGCATAAGTATCATTGCAGTCAGGGTATGAGTTGCTTGAGCTGAGAATCATTTCAATGTAAACTAGACAAATTTTGATTATTGCATTTCTAATTCGCATGTGCTTTATTCAAATTTACAGGGAAAAGAATCAGATTTTCGAGTTAAGCAACTAGCAACAGACATTGAATTTCATATCTGTAAGCAAGAAGCTGAACTTGCTTTGAGGGTGAATTGTGCAGCATACAATGGAGACCTCCATCAGCTAAAAGCTTTGATTGGAGCTGGGGCTGATCCAAACAAGACAGATTATGATGGAAGATCACCCTTGGTAAGTTGCCATGCCTCTACAAATTTTTCTATTTTGGTTTTTCAATTTATCTGTGCATTCTTTATTCACGGATATTTTGAAAGATTAAAATTCCTGTTCTACCCGTGGTAACACTTATTTAAATGGGCCCTAAGATTGAATTTACAATAAAGCAACAAATATAATTTAGAAAAATGCACTTTGGATTGGGAAAGACTTATATCTAATTGAGTCTTTGTTTTCAATAGCATCTTGCAGCATCAAGAGGATTTGAAGACATTGCACTTTTCCTTATTAAGAAAGGTGTAGACATCAACGTTAAAGGTATTTCTTTTTTTTTTTCCCCTTTTTTAAATATGTTAGTATTACTCTTTGTGGCTGATTAAACTTTAGTCTTTCTATCTGCTCACAACCTCACTAGATTTAATTTTTGGATTTTAGATAAATTTGGGAACACACCCTTACTGGAAGCCATAAAAAATGGGCAGGATCACATTGCTTCTTTGCTAGTTGAGGAAGGGGCCTCGTTGAACATAGAAAATGCTGGGAGTTTCTTGTGTGCGGCTGTGGCAAGGGGTGATTCAGACTTTCTTAAAAGGGTTTTGTCAAATGGCATTGATCCAAACTCCAGAGATTATGACCATCGAACTCCGCTTCATGTTGCTGCATCTGAAGGATTATGTCTGATGGCAAAGCCATTGATAGAGGCAGGTGCAAGTGTTCTTACCAAGGACAGGTACAGCTAAAATAAGTCAATTTCATAGTTGTGTCAAGGCCATCATGAGTAAGATTTGCTTTCAACATCAAATCAAATGGCATTTCTATTTTCCCTATTGTTTTCATGTTCTTTTGTCATCAGCCTTCAAGTTTTTAATATTCTTATGTTCTATATGCAGGTGGGGAAACACTCCTCTTGATGAAGGCCGGATGTGTGGGAACAAAACTTTGATCAAACTACTTGAAAATGCCAAATCAATTCAGTTATCAGAATTTGCCCACCATTCTCGTGAATTTACAGGTATTGCTGCAAGATTGGAGTTAGTAATTTGGCTATTGAACAACTTTGTTTCTGCCAAGTGGTTTGGAAAAGTGAACAAATAAAATGTAAACCACACTTTGATCAAGAACAAACCACATTGAAGCTCTAGGTCTATGCAGTTTCCACAATTCATTAAGACCTAATGGTAGAGTTATTCTTCTGATTTGCAGATAAAATGTATGTAAAGAAATGCACCGTATTCCCTTTCCACCCCTGGGATGCTATAGATCACAGAAAAACTGGAATCGTGTTATGGATCCCCAATACCATTGAAGAGCTCATTAAGGTTGCTGCTGATCAATTAAATTTTCCAAGTGGTTCTTGTATATTGTCAGAAGATGCAGGTAAAATTCTAGATATAGATATGATTAATGATGGACAAAAGCTTTATTTGATCAGTGAAGAACACTAGACGTTTCATTCTGTCATATATTCATTCTGATAAAGCAACATTAATGTTACTACCAAGGATAGCCTTTGCTTTCCAATATCCCTTCCTAACTATTTCAAGGTTTGAATTCAATATTTCCAATTTAGAGTTTTAAATTCTTAACCAGCTGAAACACCTCTTTGAGGTGCAAAATCTGACTTATTATTTGATTGGCTTGAATGATTCAAATAGTTTATGGATTTAGTTGACAAAAAGAAGTTTGAGGACTCAATTGATTGTCTAGAGAGAGTAGAGAAGCAAAAGGCTAAAGGCCCGTTTCTATAACACATAAAACCCGGCCCACTTTAAATATTAATCCTGGTTCCTGGCCCAAATTCCAAACGATAGCGCAAGTCATACCGATACTGTACCGAACCGAAGGCCAGAAAAAGTGAAAAACTCATTCTCAAGTCCCACATACTTTTTGCCCCTCCTGAGGCGGCAAGCCTCTCCACCACCAGAAGACGGCGGCGACTCTTAACTCCGTACACAGGCAGCATCATGGCGAAGCAGTGGAGCATTGTCGCCAAAACCAAGAAGAACAATAAGAAATTAGGTCCCGATGCTATTGCCATGAAGCTCAAAGCTTCAAAAACTAACCCCTTGGAGATCATCTGGTCCCGCCGCAATTTCGACATCCTCAGCAAAAAGCGCAAGGGCAAATAGCGACGCCGTATTGTCCTTGCCATCTGAAAAGCATATCAGACATTCTCAATTCCATCTAATTCTCAATTCATCGTAAAATGAACCTCTGTGTATGTATTGATTACGTTTGGTGTTATTGTTGATGGTTGGCTGGGGCAAAGGGAAGAAGAGAATGAGGAGAGCGTATTTGGGAACAGAATGAAATGCTCGAGATCTTGATCCCCTTCCGGAGACTGATGATTTTGAGGATGAAATGTTGTCTGATGATGATGGTTGAAAACAGAGCTGAAACTGAGAGTAAGTCCTGACTCAAATAAAAATTTCTTGAGAGTGGCTCCCTGTTAATGATGCTAGCTGCTGATTTGTTAATTCTTTTACTTTCTTTTTTTTTATTGAGATTTTAGTAGTATGTTGATCTGAGAATTGTGTATCTTTGTAATTGTATTGCCAGTTTCTGTTATTGATGTGTGAAATGGCAATGATTTTGATTGACATCTTTTTTTGTCCACTGAGTTTTCTTGTTGCTCCATATTCTCTGATATTTGTTTTTGGTGAATTGTGGTGGAAATGCTTTCTTCTTGACTTTTAAGGTGTGAAATCAAATTGGATAACTCTCCTGTGTTTGTTGTGAACTTAACTCCTATCAAGTTATGAGCTATGTCACTTTTACTCTCTTTTCCACTCTGGAGCGGTGCCAATGGTATCAGCTTCTTCTTTGCAGCTGCAGGGAAGTCAGCCATATTAAAATCACTTGATTCTATGGATGCTAAAAATCCATCAGAAGTGGGGTTAGTAGGAGGAGAAGAAAGCATCAGCCTATTCCATTTCCCCTAGTGTTTTTAGTAATGCACCCACATATACTCATTTGTTATGGGATATGAAATCATACCTGGGACCTCATTTTGATTGATGACTTCCCTGCTGCAGAAGAAACACAAGAGCAAGGAAGGAATAATGGCGTGAGTTCTTTTAAAGAGTAAATATTTTAAGGTGAAGAACTCCAAATCTATTGTACTTGTTGAAAAGTTAATTATATTTCCCTTTTAATGTATTTGCTTCCTGATTTTTTTTTTTTTGCTTCTTTTTTTATCTCTATTTTACACATTTCCTACAGGCACAAAAGGCTACAGATAAAGAAGAAAACTGAACATTTGATGGAAGAACTGGGCATAAGTTTCTCATCTTTGGTTCAGTCTAGGATTCTAGTATCCTTGACGAAACTTAAAAGATGAGTGCCTTGAGAACTCTCATGAACAAATGTGTCCCTAGTAAGCAACTGAAGAAGGATAATTTACCTGTTGCTCGTACTCAGAATGTAGAAACTTCTAAGCTGGTAAAATATTTTGACAATTCTAGACAAGAATATTTAAAGTTTCAATTCCTGGTAATATTATTTATTACAGTATGATTTTTTCTCCAGGGTATTTACTTGTATATTAAACTCAATGTGCTGGTAGCTGAAGTATATCCTCCGTCAACAAC